CCCCCCCGCCCACCGCTCTCCCCTGCGGGGACAGGAGGCAGAAGCTTGGTCCTGCGGCAGCCAAGCTCCCCCCATCCCCCATTTCTTCCCACAACATGATGCATTCTGGCCCCTCCCTCTCCCTGCCAGCGACTGCCCTTGCGAGGGGGAGTCGAGCCAAGTGGCAGCGTGCTCCCTGCTCCGTAGAGGAGGCAGAGAGAGGTAGGGATGGGCCTTGGGGAAGGGGGTGGAACATGGCAGACCCCTCCCAGCCCCCTGCCATGAGCCGCTCAGGACAGGGGGCTGGGAGCACCCCCACGAGCCGAGCACCCCAGCCCTGCACCTCCCGACCCCAACACACCCCCATCCCTCTGCCCTGCACCTCCACACACACCCCCACAACCAGCCTTGTGCCCTGCACCTCCACACACACCCCAGCCCTCTGCCCTGACCTCAAGTCGCCCCCAACACCCAGCCATCTGCCCTGCACCTCCACACACAACCCAGCCCTCTGCTCTGACCTCGAGTCGCCCCCAACAGCCAGCCTTCTGCCCTGCACCCGCACACACCCTCCAGCCCTCTGCCCTGACCTCCCCCCAACACTCAGCCCTCTGCCCTGCACCTCACACACCCCCAGCCCTCTGGCCTGACCTCAAGTCGCCCCGCTCAGCCCGCTGCAGGCCTAGGTGAACAGAACCCCAGGCTGGAAGCGGGCTGAGCAGGCTGGCGGCGTAAGATCAACATTTTAATTTAATTTTAAAGGAAGCTGCTTAAACATTTTGAAAACCTTGTTTACTTTACATACAACAATAGTTTAGTTATATAATATAGACTTACAGAGAGAGACCTTCTAAAAAACATTAACATGTATTACCGGCACGCGAAACCTTAAATTAAAGTGAATAAATGAAGACTCGGCACACCACTTCTGAAAGGTTGCCTACCCCTGGTGTACCACATGAATAACTTTCGTAGCATGTAAGGCCAGAATGGATCATCTTGGATTTTACACAGTTATTCAAGTATTGAGCCCAATAACTTGTGTTTGACTAACGCATGAACTCCTGAAAGGCATCCAGTCTTGATTTGAAGACATCAAGAGATGGAGAATTCACGACTTCCCTTTGAAGTTTGTTCCAATGGTTAATTACCCTCATTGTTAAACATTTGTGCCTTATTTCTAGTTTGAATTTGTCAGGCTTCAGCTTCCAGCCATTGGTTCTTGTTATGACTTTCTCCACTAGATTAAAAAGCCTTTTAGTATATAGTATTTTCTCCCTGTTGAGGTACTTATAGTCCATAATCAAGTTACCTCTTATGTGAATAGTTCCCAGTCAGCTCTAAAGGACTACTCACATGAGTAAATTCAGATTATTTCAAATTAGTTAAGAAACTAGTGTTGTTTGTAATATTTCAGGTGACCAGATGCTTAATGCAATTAATATTAATAACAAGGGGGGAGGAATGCAAACCAAAATAGAGAAAGAACAAGTAAAAGAATATTTAGATAAGTTAGATGTATTCAAGTTGGCAGGGCCTGATGAAATTCCCCTAAGAGTACTTAATGAACTAGCTGAAGCAATCTTGAAATTGTTAGTGATTATCTTCAAGAACTCATGGAGGATGGGTAAGTTCCCAGAGGTCTGAAGAAGGGCAAACATAGTACCTGTCTTTAAGAATGGGAAAAAAGAGGATCCAAGCAGTTATAGACTAGTCAGCCTAACTTTGATACCTGGAAAGATACTGGAACAAATTATTAATCAGTTTGTAAACACCTAGAGGATAATAGTTTAATAAGTAGTAGCCAACTTGGATTTGTCAAGATCCAATCATGCCAGACCAGCCTAATTTCCTTCTTTGTCAGGGTTCCTGGCCCGATGGATGGTGTTGGGGAACAGTAGATGTGATATATTTTGATTGTTAGTAAAGCTTTTGACACAGCCACACATGACATTCTCATAAGCAAGCTAGGAAGTTGTGGTCTAGATGAAATTACTATAAGGTGGGTGCAAAACTGGTTGAAAGACCGTGCTCAAAGTGTAGTTATCACTGGTTTGCTGTCAAACTGGGAGGAGGTATCTATGGGGGTCCTGCAGGGGTCTGTTCTGGATCCAGTATTGTTCAACATTTTCATTATTGATTTGAATAATGGAGTGAAGAGTTTGCTTATAAAATCTAGGAGGGGTTGCAAGCAGTTTGGAGGACAGGATTAGAATTCAAAATGACCTTGACAAATTGGAGAATTTGTCTGAAATCAACAAGATGAAATTCAGTAAAGATAAGTGCAAAGTAGTACACTTAAGAAGGAAAAATCAAATACACAACTACAAAATGGGGAATAACTGTCTAGGCAGTAATACTGGTAAAAGGATCTGGGAGTTATAATGGATTGCAAATTGAATGTGAGCGAACAATGTGGTGCAGTTACAAAAAAGGCTAATATAATTCTGTGACAGACTATACCCTTATATTCACCACTTTTACAAAACTATGATAAATCTTGTACAAAGTATATCTTGCGAGGTATCATTTGAAAAATCATAATTTGCTGATCATGATTGTCCTGAGAAAATGTGTGGCAAAATTGAACGTTATAAGATTCTACTGTATGATGTTACCGATGCATATTTATCTGGGGAAATAGCCCAAATCAGTTCCTCAGAGACAAAAGGCAAATGGATGCCTCAGCCAGGTATCAACAAAATCAGTTGGACAGTCACCCAGGTAAGTGGCCATTCTTTGGCAGGAAGAGGGGTGTGAACTCAAGAGGGGGACTGAAACTAAAAAGCAGAGGGACAAACACCCCAAAGCTCCCCTTTTTCTCTCTCCCTGCCCATCTCATTTTCTGCATGTGAGAAGACAAAAATAAACAGCCATTGGACTCTGGGGGGAGGACCCTGATCTGAAAGTCAGGAGACAAGAGTAGAGTATATGTGGAAGAATATGTGTAAACTTCGTTTGTTTTCCCTCCCTGGTTGATGACTCAGCTTCCTGCATAAATGCAAATTAAAACAAGCACACATTCCTCTCTTTGTTTAGGACAGACCTGACTTCTGCCTGGCCAGGTCAGTGGGGTTTGGAACGTGCGTTAATAACATGATACAGGGGAATCTTAACAATGTTGCCACACATATTTTAGCAGGACAATACTGATCAGCAAATTATGAGTTTTTAATGGTATCTTACAAGGTATACTTTCTACAAAGATTATTACAGTAGTGTATATACAGGGGTGTATTCCATCACAGTAATAAATCCATCTTCTGAAACAGTGACAATGAACTTTCTAGGTCTTTGGTAAATGTTTTGTCAAAACGATGTGCGGTCTATTATCATAGTGACTGTGAAAGGGAAAAGTGGAGGCGCGTGGAGGCAGAGGAAAGAGGAGAAAAGGTGGGGAAGAGAGAGAGAGAAATAGACTTCTTGAGAGAAATGAGTGGGAGAAGATATGGAACTGGAAAGGAATATAAGTGCAGGGAAAGGAAGAGGAAAATTAACTGTGGCGATGACATGCAATTGAATTAAAAGAGGAAAGGGAGAAACCAAGATTGAAGCATGGGTGGAGGAGACAAGTCCAAATCTGCTATTAGGAAGTCTGCACTTCTGTCTTCCTATTGCTCCAGCTACTGAAATAAAAATTTGAAATGTCTCCCTGTCTGGGATATATAAAGCATATTAGTCACTAAGAACGCATGGTAATCATTCAGAGGTTTAGTAAGATGAATTCCTATATTCCATGAGGATTTGATGGCAGAAATGGTGAGCCTTTGCTGCCACCCAGCTGCCTGCTCCTTCTTGTCAAAATGTGTTTTCACCTACTAAATTAAATCTCTTCCCTTCTTCCCTATCAGATCATGGGTTTTTCTTAATTATAATGTCTTGAGGACCTGGTAACACTTTACATCCAAGATGCTAGATACTAAAGTGATATGTCTATTAGAAATGTCATGGGTAGATCACAGTAAATTTTTACAGAGGCAAATGCTTTAAGTGCTTCTAAAGATGCACAAAAATCTGAAAAATGATGCTGTTTTCTAAAATAGCCCAGTGTGTTACAGCCAGCTGCTCTCAGACGGACTAACATGAGATAATAGTATCATTATGTTGCCGGTTGGACAAGTCTGTATTTCTATCCCTGCTGGATTTTTGAGAAATTTTAGTGTGTGAGATTTTACCTAGTCATAAGGCAGCCTGAATTCTGATGTGTGTAAATTAACGATTGTGTTTTGATCCATATGCATGGTTGGTTTTCAGCCCATGCGTTGCTTCTGTCATAATTGCCATCTAAAATATCTGATGCAGGTGAGAGCAAGTTTTACCAAATGTCTGACAGCAGTGGTCAAACTTAGTAGAATTCAACCCAGAACACTTTTCTTGTGTTTGATTATTTATCTTTTTTAATATGATGGAAACAGAAATATTATATCACAATAGTAGGAGCTACAGCTAATCCGAACTACAATTTACATACTAAAATGACCCATGACTATGGTGAACACTGCAGGGCTCTCTTCCAAAACGTGGGTAAAATTTGGGAAAATATTCTGCTCTCTTTGCAAATGACTCTGAGTTCCCTTTTAGCACTATATTGCTGGCCCAAGTAAAGCCTTGTACAAACTGTTGGGAAAACAACTGCCCTTAATACTTTCTGTCTATTCCCAGATTACTTACTAAGGAAACAGCCTGATTGTATTTGATCAGGCTGTACAGTCCTGAATCCTTAAAATCACACCATCCTTGCAAGGCATCTCCTGCTCTGCAGGGCTAATACCATTGAAAAACAGTGTGCACCTGTAAAAGGTATATCCTTCCTGCAGGATAGGTGGCATTTTTAAGGATCTAAGAGTTTTGTAATACTAAAAGAAGTTATAAATCAGGGCCTGGAGTCAAGTGAAGTGACTTTTTGTTTGGGAGTTGAGAATGAGTGGGTATCCGGTGATGGTGACATTCTGAATTTCTGTTCTGTTCTTTCAGGCTGAAATAGCCCAGCTCCAGGAGCAGTTAGCTCTCAAAGATGCAGAAATTGAACGTTTACAGAGTCAGCTCTCCAGGACCTTGGTACATAATGAAATTGCAGAAAGAGGTAAGAATGGATGGGGAAGAAATCAAAGCTGAAATGAAAACATTTGTCTTCAGTTCTGTGAAGCAGCCACTGATCAGCATTTAAAGCAATGTAAGGAGACGGGATGTGGGAGGAGATTGCTCTACTGACAGGCCAAGTAAGAGAATTTGGTATCCACAGAGCACTAAAACTTCTAATGCAGAGAACTTTGTTCTAAATTGAAAGATTCATAGATTCATAGATTCTAGGACTGGAAGGGACCTCGAGAGGTCATTGAGTCCAGTCCCCTGCCCGCATGGCAGGACCAAATACTGTCTAGACCATTTAATGTTCTTTGTAGCCATATATTTGTAAAATATTGATCTCAAAGTTAAATGAAAGGGTATTTCTAGTTACCTTTTTTTAAATTACCAAACTGTTGTTTATCACTGTCACCGTGCCTCAGTGGATCACAGCTGAGAATACCAGATTCAGGACAAACTGCTGAGAAATAGAGCAGACTCACCGCCAAACTGGTGGTTATTCTATTATTAGAATTACCAAGACAGAAACAAAAGTTACACTTCTGTCTCACCACACTGGTTAACATGAAGTCAAAAATGCATTCTCCTTAGGCATCCCAGCCCTTGTTTCTCCACTCATACACTAAACTGTATAACGAGTGGTTATTTAAAACCAATTTAATCAAACAAAGGGTTCTTCTAATCCCAAGAGATCAGCCATATACTCAGGTCAATATATAACTCACATTTTACCCAATAATCATGCTGTTGCCAATCCTTTAGTACCTATAATCTAAAGGTTTATTTAGAAGATTAAAGAAAAAGGAGAGAGTTAAAATGGTTAAGTATGATAGATCACCACTGGCCATCACGTACAGCCCCCAACTAAAACCTCTCCAGCACATTATCAATGATCTACAACCTATCTTGGAAAACGATTCCTCACTCTCACAGACCTTGTGAGGCAGGCCAGTCCTCATTTATAGACAACCCCCCAACCTGAAGCAAATACTCTCCAGCAATTACACACCACACCACAGAAACACCAATCCAGGAACCAATCCCTGAAGCAAACCTCGTTGCCTACTCTGTCCCCATATCTACTCTGGCAACACCATCAGAGGACCCAACCACATCAGCCATACCATCAAGGGCTCATTCACCTGCACGTCTACTAATGTTATATATCATGTGCCAGCAATGCCCCTCTGCCATGTACATTGGCCAAACCAGACAGTCCCTACGTAAAAGAATAAATGGACACAAATTGGACATCAGGAATGGTAATGTACAAAAGTCAGTAGGTGAACGCTTCAATCTCCCTGGACACTCTATAACAGATTTAAAAGTAACTATTCTTGAACAAAAAAACTTCAGAAACAGACTTCAAAGAGAAACAGCAGAACTAAAATTCATTTGCAAATTTAACACCATTAATTTGGGCTTGAATAGGGACTGGGAGTGGCTGGCTCATTACAAAAAGCAGCTTTGCCTCTCCTGGAATTGACACGTCCTCATCTATTATTGGGGGTGGACTACATCCACCCTGAATGAATTGGCCCTGTCAACACTGATTCTCCACTTGTGAGGTAACTCCCTTCTCTTCATGTGTCATTATATAATGCCTGCATCTGTAATTTTCACTCCATGCATCTGAAGAAGTGGGTTTTTTACCCACGAAAGCTTATGCCCAAATAAATCTGTTAGTCTTTAAGGTACCACCGGACTCCTTGTTGTTAAAATGGTTAAGGAAATCAAATAAGTGCAATCATTGCAGAGTTCTTGTATCAGGTTTGAAGCAGTGATGTTACAAAATGCTGGCTTGTAAAGTCTCTGCTAACTTCCAAAAGATTGGAAGGTCCTCAATCCACTGATTAGAATGCTCCTTTTCATGTAAGACCATGGTCCAGAGATCAGAGCAGGAAAGAGGCAAAATAGAGATGCTTCCAGGGTAATCATAGCTGATAGACTGTGACTTTTCCATTGATACCTTACATGACATACTTTGTACAAGATTTGTTGCAATTGTCTAACAGTGGCAATATTCATGATATAAATGGTCATAGTCCAATCATACAGCGTCACAATCACTTCCCAGTAATAGCCATGTGCAGCCCCTATGTATTCAAACATTCAAAATCATAACTTGTTAGGACCGCATCATCCCCTAGTTGGACTGAATCTCCATCAGATTGCTTTGTGTACATCTGCACTATCAACAATGTGCAGAAGAACTGGTCCCGTTCCCTCACTGCCCTTCCATTTTCAGCCAACCTCGCCAACGTTCCCTGGAGTGTTGACCTCACACAACTTCCATTGGATACCAGGGTGCAGAAGGAGATGATGCTACAGGCCCATGACTCCCTCCCTCACCACTGCTCCCCCT